GTTCATATTATGCACTGTCATGTTATACAACTGAAATTTGAATTTGTTAAAATGATTCAAACTTGCTAAGAAGCAACCAACGGGGCTTTAATTCCACCTCTGTTAGCCATTTCGAAATTTTGTTACATAGAAACCAAAATGTGTTCCAGAGCAAAATGTTAACACATGCTGTCATTTTCACTCATTTAGATTGCTGACTTGAGCACCACTCATGGACCAAATTACCTTGGTCTGTCTGCAAAAGCAAAGCAAGAATTCTTGTCTTCTATCCAGGAAGCTGTGAACATGGAATTTTCGAATCCTTCAGAGAGAAGATCCGTTACTCAATTAGCTGTGAAGTTGCATCATTTATGGGGTAAGGCTGCTTAACATATCTCTGTTATCATATACATGCTCCTTGTCCAACACTTATATTTTTAGTACAGTTTCTAAATTTTCCGTTCAAAGGCGTGTCACTAACGACAATCTTCTGCTTCTGTAGGATAATGCTCCTGATATTCAGATAATAAACCAAGGTTATGATGTTATGGTGCTTGCAGATTCCACTCATTGTGTAAGATACTTTAGTACTGGTAGTACAATTTCAGTCAGAAATTCATTTTCCTGTTATATGTAATGTGCACATCCATCGCTCCATCTTGTATCGAAAACAAAGAGTTCTTCCGTTTTCGTCAGTATGGGAGTTCCCATTTTCAGCATACTGTTGAAAGGGTTTTTTTTTAATTTTTTTGAAATTATCAATTTTTTTAATTTTTTGGTCTGGTTTTGTTTAATAGCAGAAAGGGAAGTTGCTCCTTCCAGATCATCTGAGAGCATAGATTTGATACAATAGAATTTTAAAGTTTAAACTATTATGCATCCTAGTGCAATTATATTCCCAAAACACTACTAAAATTGTTTTTTTTTTTTTTGCCAGGAAAAACTTACGTACTAGAAGTTAATGTTATTTCTTTTAATATAACAATTTTTTTTTTGGGAAAGGTCTTTAATATATCATAAAGAAAGAGAGCCATTCAATTTAAAAATATCAAAGAGTAAGAACAAACTTCAAATATTAAAACTTTGTGAAGAAATTGAACATTATTTATTTAATAAGTTACCCATCTGCTTGCCGAAGAACATAGTTTAATTTATGGAAATGATTGCCCATTTATGGAAATGATTGCCCATTTCTATTTTTTTAAGCATAATTTTCTTATGGGCTTTTTTATCGCCTTGGGTGATAACTCTCAGTAATTTTTATTATCTTAGATATAAGAAAATGTTTAAGAGGTGAAAAAGCATAACTCAAGTTGTAGAATGTTTGCATACATGGACTTAGCCAGCCAAGTTGACTAGAGTAGATGTGCTTCCCACTCTGCACCTGAGTTTGAATTCCTCCCATAGTTTAGATTAGATTAAGATAGGATATTGTTTGTATAAAAAAAAGTGGTAGATGTTATAAACTACGGGGAATTGTAGAGAGCAATAAGAGGAAGAGAAAGACAGAAAATTTGTTCTATGAACTTGTTGTCTTCATCTTTGATAAGTACCTATTTATAGGCTTACAACCATAGGAAATTAACCCACTAAATATAGATTAAAGGCTATTAGTTACTATACTAATAACATATGTTACAAAACAACAAAAGGTGGAGATAATGGATATAATGGTGGTCATCCACATTCCATGGATTTATAGCACTCCCCTTTGGATGTCCACCATACAATGACATTGTTGCCTCATTAAAAACCTTGCTTGGAAAACATAATGGGGCAAAACCGAAGAAAAGGGAAAAAGAGTACAACTTTCTTCTCGATCATTAATATGATGTTGGATACACTTATGTTGCCTCGTTAAAACATTGCTATGAAAAACCCAATAGGACAAAAACCTAGTCGAAGGGAAAAAGAGTACAACGCGCATATGTCCTGTATGTAGTAAAATTGGGATGCTCCACCTGATTGATATATGCTCCTGATTTTCATTAACTTTTGGAATATAGGTTTCGAACAAGCATTGGTACAAAAGGTTCACCATATTATGTTGTGAATGAATTTGTCTAACTCCAATCTCTTAGATTTTTTTGAAACTATGTCACCCTTCGTAAACCATTCTTTGATTTGAGCAATACAAGCAACATTGTCTTCATAAATGATTGAACTCTTTAGGAGCATCAACAACTAATATAATAGTTAGAATATGTTACAACAATATCAAATTTGAATTCAAAATACTCGGACTCTTAGTGTTAACTCTTAGTCAAGACTATTGTGATACTTTATATCCTTCAAGGGTCGCTTCTGTGATATATTTCAAATATTTCATAAACTTTTAGGATTTTCATGTACTATGTCTTAATAAATATGCATTTAACACATGCTATAAGTTTCTCGTTAAAATAACAATTGTACTTATAGAAATGTAGATGCATATACAATGGGATGAGAGACTAAAACCATGTCTCTACTAAGAAACCTTATGTCATATTAGTGATCTTATTTCACTTCATAAACACCAATACATAACCTTCATACTTAACATTTGTAATTCAGTGTTTGAGCTATAGGTTCAATATTGAATATTCATATTTAGTGATAAATGGAATTGGCTATTTCCATTTTGGCCAATCACTTAACTTGTCAACATTCATAAAGTGAGATTTAATATAATCATAGCCCTTGATGATTATAGTAGCTACTAATAAACCAAATGTATCATCAATTTGTGACCCCACAATTCTCATATGCATGCGCATGCATAATTTATAAGCATCTCATTGCTTTGGGATAGCAATGCCTCTTTAGGGGCTTATGTTGTTACTTATGGGGCAAACATCTCTTTTACGATGAATTATTTAGAATATAACCTCCTTTAGAGTGTTATTTTTTATAGGGCTTGGATTTTTCAAATAATCTCCACTTTTGGGGAGTTAACTCTTTAGAACCTATAGATCTGTCATGCTTCAGGCATGTAATAGATTAGTTGATAGTCACTTATTATAATGTTAATGGATTGTGATACAAGAATATCAATGCATGTTAGCATATGTATAACTTATATATGCATTACCTTGATGAGACAAAAGTAGACTAATTCAGCACTATTTCACGACGTTCTTCAAGAATTGTCATATCTCCTCTTGATGGCGGGAAAATTGTCTCATGAAATGGACAATCCTTAAAACATACGGTAAAGTGTGGGCACAACCAAAACCAACTTAGATTTTCAATTTGCATTGATAATTCAACGCGTACATTATGTTTGTGCAATAGGCACATAAATGTATGTGAATGCCATAAACGAGATTTAAGGAGGGATTGTTGTTGGTTGGAAACATGCCTCAACCAAACTAAACTGTAATTATATAAATTGATATGGGCTTCTTACTTTAATGGTTGTGTAATACAACTCACAAAAAAAAAAGTAGGAAGTTTTTCCAATAGAAGCCTTTGGCTGTCAATATTGGGGGTATATGCAAAAACATTACCATTAACTAACAATCCAACATAAAGATAAAGAAATTAAATCTTGATTTAAAAGAACTCATAACAAGAAATAAATTAAAAAATATAATTGAAAAAAATCATCAAATAAGATCAAAATAAAATATCCAAATTAAGCTAAAAAAATATGAAAAGAAAATAAGACATCAAATTAGTTGGGAGGACCCCACCACTAATCATGGAATCATGTGATTTTTCATTAGTATTAGTGAAGAAGTTTGAAACATCTAGGTGGGTTATATCCACTGGGTACAAGTCCATAGGATTAGCTTCAAACCAGTGTGCCACAACCGTTTTTTCTTTGCCCTAGATTGAGGCTTGATAAAGATCTTCCAAATGTTTTGGCGTGCGGTAGACGCGTGCCTAGTGCCCATCTGCACCACAACTATGACAAGCTTCCCCAATTATCAGTCATATTTTGGGGGGCCCTTTGCCTTTTCTTGTTTGTTCCACTTCTAGTGGTTTATGGAGTAAACACTAATACATCTACCAAAACTTCTGATTTGAGATGTTTACAATTGGAATTGAGGAACTTCAGGCCCTCAATTATTTAAAATCAAAGAACTTTAGATTCTAATTCTATCAAGGACCTTTAGGTCCTAATCTAGTTGTGTGATGAAGATCAAGGAACTTCAGGTCCTGATCTCTTGTATAATATCAACTCATCATAAGATATAATAATTAATTAAAATCATGCTTAAAGAAAGAAAGAAATAAACTAAGCCATGATAAGGTTAGAATTGTATGAATATATGAAAGGAAAATGCTAGGCTTACCACATTTTTACCACATTTTTACCACATTTTTATACCACATTGTATACCACATCTCTAATAGAGATGAACCCCATTGTATTGGTAGGCTCCACCTCTATTAGAGATGTGGTACATAATGTGGTATAAAAATGTTGTAAGCCTAGCATTACCCTATATGAAATAACAATGAAAGTGATGTAACCTACAAAATGCCATAAATATTAACTAAGGCAAGCATGCAACCAAAAGAAAAATATCAAACATGGCATTCATGCCTAAGATTAAGAAATTTTTATTTCTATTTTTAAAAACAAGCATAGTGAAGTCCGATGGTGACTACAAAGAGAACTCTATACCATATGATGACTCTATCTCAGACGGAAAAGAAAATTCAGATAAAGAAATGATACAAAGAGCAACATCGTGCTGATAATGTGTTATAAAACTAAGAGGAATTGTAGAGAGCAATAAGAGGAAGAGAAAGATAGAGAATTTGTTCTATGAACTTGTTGTCTTCATCTTTGATAAGTACCTACTAATTACTATACTAATAACATATGTTACAAAACAAACAAAGGTAGAGATAATGGATATAATGACGGTAATCCACATTCCATGGATTTATAATGGTAGAATTTTTGTTGACCAGAATAAAAAGCGACGGAATATTTTACCACACACTGTAGGGTAAGGGACTATCGTTCTGTCCTCAATTTTAATGACAAAACAAACTGAAAAAAATAAATTTAAGAATGCGAGAAGAGAATGCTGAAGGCCTTTCTTCAGATGCTATACTAAAATCACAACGTACAAGGTAGCGCATACAATAGTGTTAGAAAATGTATTACAAATTATAAATCACAAATTTGGCCCCGAGGGGGCATGAATTTAACTCAAAAACACCAAATGGATAGCCCAGTTGATATTATCTTGTACAATTTCAACCTCCATCCATTATCTGGTACAAGTTTAAAAGCTACTTTTCATGCGACACAAAATTTGGAGACAAGTTATTACGATCGAAATCATTCATAGGCTCACTCTTGCTCCTTCCATTTCCCGGATTGCTCCTATGCGCCTCTCCTCCCCTTTCACCGTCTCTTCTGTTCTGGCTTCTCTTCTTAGCAGGACTAACAATTGTTCCCTTGGGAGCCTCGTAAAGAGTTACAGCACCATCTCCGCTTTGAAGTTCGTGGTTTCCTGATGACTGAAGAGTCTCAAGGATGTCAACCACCTGGCTCATAAGGGGCCTCCCTTTGGGGTTTTGGCTAAGGCATTGATATGCCAACTGGGCCACCTTCATTGCAGTTTTAAATGAGTACTGCCCTTCCAACCTAGGGTCTACAATCCTCAGAAGCTTCTTATTGTGGTTCAAGAGTGGACGAGCCCACTCAACCAGGTTGTGTTCTCGGCTGGGCCTGCTCTTATCCATTGCTCTTCGTCCAATGAGCAGCTCAAGTAGCACCACTCCAAATCCATAAACATCACTTCGAGCAGTTAGATGCCCTGTTTGGATCAACTTAATACTCAGTGATAGATTACTATGGTCTAATCTACCAATCTATGATGTAAACATTGCCAAAAATGAGAAAGGAATTATACAATATTACTTTAGGTGAACTGTTATTGAAAAATCAAGTTGATACATGATAAATAAACATCAAAATAATCTCTTCGCTTGGCAACAGAAAGCATTTGTCAATCTGTATAGAGGAAAAAGAAAAAGCATAACATTTTATGATATGACTCGGCGACGTAGTTATGAAACTCACCAGTCATTACATACTCAGGAGCAGCATATCCATATGTGCCCATCACTCTTGTTGAAACATGGGTTTGATCTCCCATAGGCCCTTCCTTTGCAAGGCCGAAGTCCGAAAGCTTTGCATTAAAATCCTGCATGTTATCGTTAGATTTTCAGCAACATAAACCAACCTAACTTCCCCGGAAGTAATCACTCATATGCCAAAACATACAACTTTCATTCAAAAAATACCAATATTTGTTTTCCAGAAATGGACAAAGACTCATGACAAGAAGCATTTGTGTACACATCTTCTGGTTCGGGTTTCATTTGTGAAATTAGACTTCTGAAATATTTGAAATTTTTTTCTGACAGCACCTCCAATAAGATGCTCAATGGTAATAAGTGCTACATAAAAGATAACAAAAAGAAGACAACTAACCCCATCCAACAATATATTTGATGTCTTAAAGTCACGGTAAATGATTGGTCGCTCTGCACCATGAAGAAAAGCAAGCCCTTTTGCAGCATCTAAAGCAATCTTCATTCTTCTTGACCATGTAAGCGTACAGCCCACTCCTACCACCCAAAATAAAAGAAATGATTACGGTGTTAACCAAAAGAGGCACAATGTTTTTCATGTGTCAAAAGTATCCACCAGAACACTCAATTGAATGTTGTTGCAATAGACTGTTGGTGGATCAATATGCAGTTTGGGGAAGTTAATATCTGCATACAGTCTACATGTACACTTCCTGCAGGCATATAATTTATATAAACAATGGTCCATAACACTTCAGATGATTAAGATGAACAACTAGAAGAAATGCTTGTTCGTATCTAATAAAAGTCAAATTTCCACACACAAGTGTTAAGTTTCTAAGTATTCTAAACTGTAACACATTTTTACACTGATAAATGCAGTTTACTTGTACATTTGTCAAAAAATAAGTAAAATCACATGCATATTTGAGTACTTTATTTCACCTTCCCTTGACCGCCTTCTTGTTTATTATTAGAAAGACAGTTTTCATAAGAACTTGAAAAGCCTTCAAACCCTATACATAGCTTCCGCTCTGGACTGTATATGACAATCAAAGTCAAGCTAGATGAATGGCTTTTAACATTCTTGAGATTAAAAGTGCAAAAGACCTTTGATTATAAAAGCTAAGCAGTGAACAAACACTAAAAGGTGGTACACGATATGCTGAAGCGTAGGGATTATGACAAGGGAGAAATAGATTTGGTTTTGCCAGCAACTTAAACAGTGGACGGTAGCAAGTGCCAAAACATACAAAAAAGATGATGGGGATGATAAACAATAAAAATAGAATTCGTGATACTTTGACTCCATCATCCATTATAGCAATAAATGGAATTAATCTAAAAGTCCTATAAATAGGCTTCACCTAAAACATCATTTTCTTAACATGCCATAAAACACTTACTACGAAATAGATGTTTTTCCAGGCTGCCACTTGCCATGTATTCGTAGACCAGTAGCCGATGCTCATCCTCACAGCAGTAGCCAATCAGCTTCACAAGATTAGGGTGACTAAGCTGACCTAGATAGTTAACTTCTGCCTGCAAGAAAAATAAGGCATGACAAAAGGATTCAAATTAATCTCCACTATACATGCAAACACCCCGGAAGAAGGCTTAGTTTATTAGCAAATTAAAAAAAAGAAGAAGTAATCAGATGATAAATTATGCCAAATGCCACCGATTGGACATGGTTTTCCAGTTTAGTGAACTAGGAATTGTTGAGAGACAACTACCTGTTTAAGCAAGAAACACCATCTAACATACTTGTTAGATCAATGTCTTACTGTCCATGTCAGTTATCAAGGCCATGATTTTCCATTTTTGTTTCTCTTTCAGAAAATCCTTGATATAGGAAATTAAAAATCAACTTCGCACTTCAAATCTGTCCTTTGATTTGGCTCCTAATTACCAATGCACTACTCATTATAAAAATGTTGCACCACACACATCTGCCGTTGACTTTTGATGTCTCCAAAAGGAATTTTAATGAATAACGGATTCTAAACAATGCTGGACTAAATTCGATTAAGGAATCTATCATTTAATTTTTCACCTAATAACCACTGAAAAACATGTTGCACTGAATACATGCATTCCACTTTTGATGTCTCCAAAAGGAATGTTAATGAATAACTAGTTCTAAAAGCTACTAGAACACTAGTGTAAGTATTATCCTACCATGACCAAAAAAGGAGAGAAGGAAAGAAAAAAGGGACAGCTTGGGGAAATGTCTATTTGCAATGCAACTTGTATGAATGCTATGGTTCGTAACAAGATAACCCTCATTACTTTCCAAGGGCATCAACAGTTGAGAGATAGTTAAGCTATTTCTGATGGAGCTTCTTCATAAGTCAAGAACAGTATGAAAAACTGTCTTGCACAGCAAGAGACAACATAATATATGGAATGGATTTACGAAAGCTTTCACTCTAACAGACCATTCTGTCAGCAGTATCAGAATGTATTCATCATCAACATTGGGCAGAATCGGCAAAAGAACCTCCCTCTACTATGTTCTGATTACAACAATTTATCTTCTCTATCAGAATGGAGAAAAGTATACAAATTGAATATAGTAAAGCCTCATTTCTAAGAAAATAAATACGATAAAAGGGAAAGATAAGTCAAATACCAGCCATTCCCTATCACCTTGGTACCCTTCTCGATTAAGCTCCTTGATGGCAACTTGTGTGGTCTTGTAACCTGTCCTCACGGTGTCATCAACAACTCCTTTATATACAACTCCAAACCCACCCTCACCAAGAATTAGCTCTGGCCGGAAACGTTTTGTGGCCAAACTCATCTCATCGTAAGTAAAGATGCTGACATTGATATATCCGGGACTTTGCCGTAGGTCTTTGACATTCTTGGAAGCCAAAGGAGTGTTGATTGCACTTTTATCGGGAGTTGGACAAGCAGCAGAGCCATGTCCTACTGCATTTAAATTTTTTCACAAGAAAAAGAGAAAAGTTATGTTATCAGTTAACCATTACTTCCAAAAATGCTCCCATCAGCCACGAGCCTACCATAGAAAGAATATGTTTCTTACTGGTTGCTTCTCAACCATACTCTCATGAAAATTCATTATAATAACCGGGTATTCAGCAACCACAACACACCGTTTAAAAAGTTGAAACTGAAGTACAGAAACATATTGGCCGCAATAAATGCATAGAATGCTATAAAATAACTGTCATAAACAATCACATATATCAGAACTATATTTAAGAAGTACAAAAGAAATTCAACAACCTCCTAATTTCATGTATCAAAACTTAATGCCTTCGGAAGCACACCAGTAAGAAAAAAAAAAAAAAGTACTCCAACATCAAAGATGTCCACAAAAAAAAAAAAAAACTATGTGTGGCACACATTTACTCACTTATACAAACTCCAATAAATGCTTCAAATCCAGTCAACTGGTTAGAAAATGTGACAAATGACAAAAGGTAAAAACTGAAAACTTTGATTTTTCACAAGATATGATGCAAGAACACACAATTTTTTCCCTTCCCCCATAACTGTGCGTAATTTCCATTGTGAGTCATACATTTGGAAGGAAACCAACATAAGATCACAAAATTTATTTTTTTTGGACGAAAGATCACAAATTTTATTAATCGAAATAAAAGGTCCCAAAACTCCAAATGCATTCAAAGCTAATAAAAAACATTAGATACAGATTAATGATTACCCATTTTAAAATTAATGCATAATTAAATGTGAAGCAAAATATATTCATACATGATATAATACCTGGTGGGCTTGTCTGATTACAATTGGAATGCTGCTTCTTTTCAGAACTGAAACAAATCCCCATGAATCTGAAAACAAACCCGTATCCGCACCCGAATCCGGCTTTACATTTCAACCCCTTCCTCCAACTTTTATCATTGACAACTGACACGCTTAATGACCCACATGCATTTCTATTGTGGGTTCATCGCAATTGTCAATGCGGGGTTGGTGGCTTGGTATTCGGGTCCGGATTCGATCTGGGTCGGAGCAAAGATGTGAACTTCCGATGTGGGTAGCCGGGAAATGGAGGAAAAATTTTGTGTATCTGTTTTTGTTTTGTTTTGGGCTACCAGAAAGCCACTCAAAGTTTGAATAAAAGAGAAGATAAATAAAGGGAAGAGAGAGAGAAAGTAGTAAAATGGAGAGAAGGTAAGTTATTTTTCGAAGAGAGAGAGAGATTTGGTCCAGTTATTTGGTTAAGGTTGAGGGCATTGGGGCGAAGAAAGCGCCAAACCAGACGTAACCCAAAACCTTTCTTGGCTCAATCTTCAAACTCAATGGCTTCTTTGGTCTTTGCTTTCCTTTCTCAGAAATCTGTGTGTGCCTTGCTCTGATTCCGCCAAAAAAAATCTTCAAGTTGGGATTTTTGGTTTTTTGAGGGGTTTTATTGATTGTGTCAAATTGTCAATCAAAATTGAAAGAGGGAATTATGAGTATTTTTGGTACGTTTTTGAGTGCCACTCCATTCAACCACTTGCATTTTCTATCATTTTGCTTTGTATTATTTTTGCCAGGTCTTTGTCAGACCAAACAAGGAACTAGTCTCGTTGAAAATACACTTTTTTTTTTCTTTTTCTTTTTGTTTTGGTGTAGAAAAAAAAAATATTTATATTTGGTGTGGAAAAAAGGCACTAATTTTATTTACTTTTGGTCTTGAGAAAGACACACTAAACGCAATAATGTTTCTTTTTTTAAAGACTTCATAGTCCTCATTTTTTAAAAACTTCATAGTCCTCAAAGTCTAAACCCCTATGAAAAAAAAAAAAAAAAAAAAAAAAAGAGTCTAAACCACAATTACCAAAAGACTTCCCAAAAAAAAAAAAACATTTAGTCGGATCAGCTACCTACCATGTCACTTTCCTTGTTTTTGGACTCAAGTGTTTGTTTAGATTATTCCTTCTTACCTTGTTTGCTACATCTACTTGAAGACGACTTGTCATTGTTTATTGGACATCTAAGACCCCACAATGATAATTGCTAAATTTACTAAATTTGTATACTGAGTAATGTGACACCCCACAATCATAGTTTCTAAGCTTACTACATTTGTATAGTAAGTAAGGTGGTATTGTCTCATTTTTCCCCTCAGAGCGCTTCCACTCATCTGTCATGGTAAAAGGCAAAGGGAGGCAAGAGCAGTTATGTGAATAGTGCCTACACTATCAATTTTTTTATTTATGCATTCCTACCCATTGCCATAACAACCCAAGTGCAACCACTATTCACATGAGATATGAGGAGATGAATTTGTATCAATTTTGGTGTGGGAAGTGAAGAGCATGGTTAGGTATTTATAGAAGAAAAAAATCCTTGAATTTTTTCCCTTTTCATTTCAATTTATTTGGTAGTTAAATTGGCCGCTCACGTCAGCATGACGTCAACAGTAGCCCAATTTCATGGGGCCCACTTCGTGCCATGACAATTTTTTCTTGGTATGGGTTGTTTTTGGAGCCTAGGTCCCTTTTTGTCATGACAAAAGGGGATGGGCGGAAGTGCTCTTAGAGAGAAAGAAAAGAGAAGAGAGAGAATGAGAGTGGTGGCATGGACAGTAGGGGAGGTTGGCGATGGTGGTGCGAGGGTAAAAATGGATTTCACGGTGTAAAAAGAAATTTTTCTCGGTCTATAATATGTTTGCATAGGTTGTCATTAACCAATCAATCATATGTGATTAAGGAGAATTACTTGATTATGGTTCTAAACTCCTCTAATCACTAACATGATTAAAAGAACATATGTATAATTATTTCTTTGACCAATCAATCATATGTGATTAAGGACAATTACATCATTCTAGTAATCACTAACATGATTAAAAGAGCATTAGTAATTAGGACATTCTCATTTTTACCACCAATAACATTGTTACACGTGTCATTATTGTTATAATATTGAGATGGATGCTTGATTATTGGGTTGATAAATGCAAGAACAGAATGCGTTTTTGGTTGCATGTTGAATAAATAACAAACCCGACCCACTATCTAAGAATTACTGGGCTTAATAAATAATTTGGGCTTCTGAGGGCCAAACCCGACCCAATACCCAAAAACCCATACCAAGTCACTGACGAGTTCAGATTTCAGCATCCCTCAAGCTCTGAGAGCAATAGGTCGAAAGAATCAATCTTGTGAAAATGGCCGACGAAGCCAACAGAGCTGTAAGTCCTTTCTCTTTGTCTCTTGATTTTCCATATTCTCTTGGTTGCTGCTATTTACCAGGATAATCAAATTTTTATAGGCATTCTTTGAGATTCAAGGTCGCATGATTGAGCTCACTGCGAAACTGAAGCAGGTCTTGACCTTATTTATTTATTTATTTATTTATTTATGTATATGATTAATGTCAATATAAATATACATGATGAAAAAGTTAACTTATTCAGTGAGAATTGAGATGGGTTTCAGGTGCAGACGCAGATGAGGAACAAAGAAGGAGAAAAGAAGCGTGCTTTTCTAACCCTGGAGGAGCTGCGGCCTTTATCTGATGAAGCAAATACTTACAAATCTATAGGTACTTCATTTCAATCAACCCATTGCCTCAATTGTCAAATTTAATTTGAGAAAAGGACCCATTTTCTTTTGGGATGTTGGGATTTAATTTTGATGATTTTTTTTGGGTTTTAATATGTTTTTCAGGGAGAACGTGAGTTCTGGATTGCCTCTTTTAAGCATGAAAATTAGATGGAATTCAGGTCTTGTTGATTTATGAGTTGCCTGATACATATATGACATACTCTGATAAACTCGTTGCTCATGGTGGCCAGGTTTGTTTTAGAGCCCAAGTCAGTGTTAGTGAATGAACAGGAACAGAAGCTCAAGGACAGTGAGAGTGCAATTGCCTCACTGCAGGTATATCTCTAATTTCTTGTGAATTATGATGGTCTCTTTTCGTTCTTTGTAGTGTGTTTACACCATTTGTTCTGTTTCTTTGTGGAACAAAGTGAATATATTCAATTAACCTTCTTAGAGATACCTCTAGAAAGTTTAGATGTCAATAGACTCAATACTCGATAAAATTTGTTTCATTTATAAAATTCAAAATATGCTGCCATATGTACATGGACTTGAAGAAACCTGCTCTACCTCATCCATAACCCCAGTATACGAACTTATATTACCTTGACGAGTTCTTTTTTGCATTCTCCAGACTCCACTGACAACTTATAGTCCTTTTAATATCAAGTTACCAAAAAATAAAAAACCTTTTAATATCCCATCATCTTGAATTTTTAGTTTTTCGTAACTTTCTTTTACATTGTTAGACTTTGTTTCAGTTGAATCTGTCAAGTTGAGACATGTGAAAGTAAAAACCTTAAAAGGATTTGCTATGAAGCTTTATATAATATTGTTAGCGATGACAGTGAACAGAAGACTGATGCAATAACTAGGACAGAGTGGGAACATTGTTATAATTATGTCCTAAGAATGTGTCTAAATACAATTTTCCAAATCTGTAGATGGAAAAACATTGCCTTGCACTTTTAAGAAAATTTTTCAATCCCTAAGACGTGGACATCTAGTACTAATCTTTGTCGTTTTAGAAAGGTGGAGATTTTTTAACTGATACAAGTCTACAGCTTTGTTTGTCAGATTTAACCAAAACAACTACTTGGGTGGTAAGGCTTAAGAAGATAATTTTATCCTATTTATGATAGAGAGGTTCAAATTATTGAACTAATTTTGAGAGATAAAGCTCCTAATAAAGTAGTATTCCATTGTCTTAAAATTTTAATTTCAAAATTGTAGGAAATGCCAAAAAACACTTCTTTTTACGAATGAGCTGAACTGTGCTAATCCTTCCCCCCCTGACTTGTCTTCACCTCAAAAGTGCCAGTCAAAGCTATCGATAATTTTCATTAGTTAATCAAGCATAGATTTGAGGCTTAAGTCAAGATGAGGTTCATGACTTGTGTTGTGGGTGATTTGCAAATTTCTGCATTTCTTTGTTCGTGGGAAAAAAAATAATTTGCTTTTGGAGAGGGGAAAAGAGCAAGAACTTTGTGGAATTTTTGTGCAATCCCTATAAATTGAACGAAACACATTTTTTCGGAAAGTTATAGGGGTGAGGAAGTGGAGCATTTGTGGGATAATGTGCTTTTGGGCATCATTGTAAGCTTCAATTCGCTTGGATTTTCTATTTTTTCATATTCATGCAGAGTGGAAGGCGGCAGTCTCATAACTTTTATTTGTTAGCTGAGCTGTTATGAAATGTTTTTGAGTTTGTTTTAGACGTTTTTGTTGTTAGTTGCTGGTTGGTTGAGACATTGCATGTGTTCTAGTGTAGCTTGCCCTATGTTTGTACTTTTAATCTTTATGGATAAAATAAATTAAATCCTTCTGTTTCTGAAGAAAAATAATTTGAAGATCATGTTTACATGATACTTTTAAGATGAAACATTTTCTCTTCTGGACTTCGGCAGAAGTAAAATTATTTCTTTTGTGCTTTGGACAGATCTCAAAGGAATACATCGAGAAACAGGTTGCAGAGGTGGAGAACAACTTGAGGGAGCTATTGAACCAAGATCCAGGTCTTGCTCGTCAGATAATGTCCATGAGTGTAATGTAACTTTTGATTTCTTGAAAGTTTTCTGCAGTTATTTTGTTTTGTTTTCCATTTGGACCAACACAAGAAATTTGTAGAATCGATCCGTTTTCCTCACAATTCGCCACCTTTTTTTTACTATAAGGGTACGCTTTTCTTATTTAGTCGTGGATGTATTATAGGTAACATGCTCTAATTTATGAAGATACTTATGCAAGTTCTCTATTTATTTATTAAATTGCTTATCCACGTGTATCTATTTTGCATTACTGAATATTAGGCTGACGATTTACAAGAGCAAGATAACAATTTTGGAAGGGATTAGGTTGATGCTCTACCTGACTTAAATAGTTTTAAAGCTTCTTGTCTTGGCAAACAAAACATTAAATATAGTGTTACTTCCAATCTTCATCATGATGATAACTGAAACCATTGCTCTAGGACCTTCTGTTTGTCTAGTCCTTGCCTTCCCTCCTATCCATACTCATCTAAACTAGAGTTTGCTTCAGGTGTGAATGCACATACATGATTTTTTACTCTACCGGTCAGTCGACCGTTGAACCATATTCACAACCCGGGTCAACCGGTAGTGCAAAAATCAGGTTGGTGTGGTGCTAAGAACAAGTAGACTAGAACAAAACTTGAAGCAACCCCTGATAAAACTTTGATGTCATATGCCCTCTCAATTTGAGTCTCCCTTGTCGTTCCAAAGGTAGCATTTGTCGAAACTTTCAGTTTCGTCGTTGTACCTGCATGGCCCTCCAGATTTGATCATCCATGTACAATGTTTGCAATCGTCCCTGTTGTGTATGAAAATGTCAAAC